TATTCTTCCGTAAATCACATAAAACAGTTCCCACGTCAATCAGATTGCATCCTGTAGGTGTGCACAGAGGCGTAGCAAGGGGGCGGTCTGGGGCAGATCACCCCCTTGCTACGCCTCTGTGGATATAACAGGGGCCGGCAAGATTAGCACCGCTAATTTTTCGAAATCAAAAATGAAGGGCAACATTTCCAGATAAACTGAGTGTGGCATATTTTAAGGTTACTTCGTATGATCAACAACACGTTTGCGTCGTGTCCCACTTGTGCAAACGTTCTTCCCAGCGATCCCATTACATGTGTTTTTCTGGTCACTTTCACCACACCAACCTGTCCCAAACGATCATCCAATTTATCGAAAACCTATGTGCACTTTACCCTGAGCTGATCGTGTGCCCTTCACGCGCTTATTCTGCACTCAGTCATGGCATGTTTCAACATGCGGCTGGTGCTGAAATTGTTATTATGTCTAGTTCGCCGTAGGTCCACTGTAACTTGCTCCGTCGTCCATGCAAGATTACAATTCCAGTGACATCGTCCTGAAATATCAAGTCAATATGATTTACGCGCCCCCCCCGCGTAGATGAACATCTCGTTTGTCACCTAAAATCCTTTTCTGAGACCGTTTCGGATTCATTCACATCGGACTTGTTTGAGGGATCGATCTGAGCATGAGGCCGTGCCTCCGCGTTGACTCTTGCACGGACATGCTCAGTTCGGCGTTTACGTTCCTCTTGACTCCGGAACTGTGCGTTGATTTGTTGAATCTATCTTGTCCATACGTTGTGAATTGGACCCTTTTGTGAGCCAGGATCTACTACTACACAATACCCAAGGTTGGAGCACAGACAACTGAGTTTGAAAAGGGCGTTCCAGGGTTGGCAGACCCGGAGGGGGAAATAGGTTCGTCGACAGTCTAGACAACTGTATTGTTGACTCAGTTTCAGGCGATTATCACACAGGTTGGTGTTCGGTAAGAGTTGCAAAATATGGTGGAGCACGTATTTGGTAAACTACCGTGCGTCTGATAACTGAGGGTCGTGTAGCGCAATTCAGGCGTGAGTAGCATGTTCCATGCCACACCGATTGAGCGTCTATGATGTATCCAGTAATAGGTGTGATGGCAAACGACATGCTCGGCACACCAGTGGTTCAGGTCAAGGATCCGCTGAGTGCAGGCAGGACAGTTCGTCGAGAGACAGGCAGGCCACATTAGCCAGCCGAACAGTAGGAAAGTTGGACCGATTATGCGTTATGGCTAGATAATACAATGCACACGGTGAGCTCCCTTTTTTGGATCACTGTCTCAGCGATGCAGCAAGAGTATGCACTCTCGTCGGCTACTTATCTCCAACCGGAATTAAGTTATATGGCTGATGATAAGCGCGTGCTGCTTCTTCGGTTATGGCGAGTGAGAGTCAACCGCCGAAGAAACTGCGCGACAATACAAAACTATCAACGCTGAAATGCGGCCCGTCAGCGGCCGTTACGTGCTAAAACGTGTGAAAAAGTTCGAAAATACTGGTAGTGTGTGCAACGCCAGACTAACTGGGCGACCTTGCATCACCACAGATGACTTTTCTGCTTGCGCTGTGATCCGTGAAGTAAGTAAATGGGATTATCTCAGCCTCGGTAGAATTGTTAAGAGCATATGCTGATTCGACAGCGCTCTGACTGACTAGCTATTTCAATATGACAATGTTCCACAATACCAACACTTATTTATCATGGTAATACTTATTAAAACGAGGATGTAATCGCTACTCAATGGAACAAGATGGTAATGTGAGGATAGGCTACAGGAAGCGATAATCTTTAGACACCATAGGTTCCCAAACGCTGGGTAGTCGGCTCGCATACGTAATTTGCATATGATGGCCACTTTCACAGGCTAGTAAGCTTATCGTGGTCATTGGCTTACGGACACTCCGGTGTTAGCTATCGATCGTCCCACTGGGTAGTCACTAATGAGGTCTGCTTGTCCCTCGACGAACTGTCCCGCTTGCACTCAGCAGATCCTTGACCTGAACCACTGGTCTGCCGAGCATGTGATATGCTATCGCACTTATGGGTATGGAGACATTTCTCGGTCCGCACGCGCGCGCTAAACGCAGTTGCGTCTGTGTGCGCATTTGCGCCATACATAAGATGGCTATTGGATGACGGGGACAACTATTCTAACTTACTGGGGTTCACAATAGGCGCACAAAAGGTGCGGCATGGCACTTTTTACTCGCGCCTGAACTGCGCTAAACGGCCCTCAATTATCGGCTGCACGGTAATATAAGTTCTCCAAGTAACCTCGGATAGGGTCCACTGAACACTCCGAGTTTCTTCAGTCGTTTGTGGTACGGAAAGCGGCGCAAAACCTTGACAAAATCGTTGCTAAACGTTAAGAGGTATCGAGTGCCTCAAGATCACCCCTATGCCATGGTTGTCAAGCCTGGATAGCGCATCTGACGTGGTGACACACATAGGCAGTGAACATCAGAGAGAAATTGGATGAATGCAACCACCTCCAAAAGACCAACATGCTGGTTACTCCTTTTTGAAGCGGAATTTGACTGCCTGGAACAACTGAGGTAGTCCTGCACCGAGGTCAGGTTCGTGAGTGAAGATGTAGGCGCGTTGATGGCGGATGTAAACAACGCGACACTTGTTCACGTTGAATGGCAGCGAGTTCCACATCTACCAATGCAAGGCTTCAACGATACCGAGCTGGAGGATCTCGTGGTCTTTCAATCGCTTGATCGTCCGCCAAACTTTAACGTCGTCCGGGAAGGGTAAAAATGTTGAGATGATACTTCACGTTAGATGGTTTGTGGAAACCAAGAACAGTCGATGCCCAGGTACCGAAACCTGAGGTACGCCGCACTTCACTCGAGTCGAGTAGGACAAAGATGTTCCAACGCTAAACTCTAATCGCCGTTCATGGAGAAACTTACCTATCTATCAAAATACTGGGTCAGTGATACCATAGCGCTGAAGTTAGTAAAGTAAAATATGCCGATCCAAGCAATTGAAGGTTTTTAAAAACTTTAAATAGATGACATCGAATCTTGTCCTATCCTCTACTGTTGCCAGCAAAGTTTAGCGTGCTATCAGCAGATTCGTGGTACATGATCAATGTTTACAAAACCCGTGCTGCTCCGGTGCAATAACCCCATTGCGTTCCAGGTAGTCCATTAGGGTCCGTGATAAATTTCCTTGTTCGGCTTCTTAGGAAGGACTTTTATTTGATGGAACGGTAGAAAGACTTTGGTTCTGATGCTTTGGTGACTAGTGACGTGAAGGTTTTCAAGAATATTTCCAAGGCTATCTCTGGGGTGCTCTCAGTCGTGAATGTCCAACTAGCATTTTCAACGAATGCGGACAAAACCTGATAATGCGTAAAAGATTGAATCTTTTCTGGCTCTGCATCGGGTATTCGGCGTAGCAAATGTAATCGACCAGTACAGTCAGCTGATCGTTTTGATGCAGAGGACTGGACATTTAGCCCATCAACTATGAGCTCCTCGCTGGAGAGCACTAGATCTAACCTTGACAGCCTATTCGTTGCGTTGAACTTGGTGTGAGCGGTGGCGTGATTGTATAGGGGTGTGCTATAGAAGAGCTCTCGCAAATAGGCCTTGAACTGTTCCGCTTCGGTTTCTGGATTTGCTAGGTCATGAACGTTGTAATCTTCTCTAATGAGGATATGGGTGTATTTCTGATTTTCTATAACAGGAAGTGCGGATATTAGTCCATGGTCCATCTCATTAGTGTATTTGGGCGGTCAGCAAACTACGGAAACACAACATATATCGTCTTCCCTCAAGCAAAGTTTGAACCAAAGGCGATCAGTGACACACGTCTGAGGATCATCGACGAGCTAACAGCGAAAATTTGTTTTGTTATAAATGATCATTCGCCTCCCCTAGCCATTCTGTCGTTGCGGAGACGTAGCATACCGGGGGGAGTGAGCTCAACGTAGGTTATCTCACAGTTCAGGTACGATTCCGTGATCATTATGATATCTCGAGACTCTGGTTTGACCAACTTAATAATAAGACCTTGTGTGTTTTTCAGTAACCAGAAGTGAGTTATTGGACGTAATGGAAAACAATTGTTAGATTTAGACTTGCTGTTTTGATATTCTTGCTAGCATCGACCTTGAAAAAGGATTGGTAGACCTGCAAAAATGCTTAATAGCAGTAGAAACAAATGGAAGAATCCACGAATAACACGCTGCAAAGGAAAGTACCGTTGAACTGTAGAACAGTGAAGGTGCGTCTCTCTCAAACAGTTGCAGTAGGGAATGATGCGGCGAGTCATGAAAATAATTAGCTTAAACTCCGGGCACTAAAACAGAATTAGATAGTGTGGGTAGAAAGTCACGGTATCCTGACTTCACAAAACGTCTTTCAAATGGCTTTTTGAGACACACAGCTTTTTAAAGAAAATATAAATTCTATTTGTGAGAGTTTTGTCTTATGCTGCGTCCAAACTGGTCTAGTCGGCCAATAAATCGGCAGACACAGGTATTTTAACCAATTCCAGAGTAGTTATTAAAGCCACGATTGCTATAAAAGCGTTTTACATTGAGAAATGTCATCGAGGACAGATGATGCGCAAGTCGTTAATTATTTGTTGATGATGATGATGCGGAGGGGCGTATGTAGATGTTTGGGCTGGCAACAGATAGAATGCAATACAATATTCGATCAACTGACGACACATTGGGGTTGGTGTATCGTTTGAATATTAACGGGTTATCTACGCGAGGTGACAGCAGAAAGTGGTCCGTTGATAAAATCCAGATTTAATTCACCGGAAATCAATCCAAGAGGACGGACTAGCTGCCAAACATTTTGTTTAATTTAATCTGATTATTAGTAGTCACTAATTGATCGGAGCAAGGTACTTCTTACCTTACTCTGCAAAATGTTGAAAGGAAATAGTTGATTTAAATAACAGGCAGCTCGGCTAGTACACTTTACAACTGGTAGATAACAAAATACCAACCTCAAATTGATTCAATCCCTGGGTTTCATATCGAGTGAATTCTTCTTGGCCCATCAAGATGAATCTCCCCCTGGCGCCACTGAATGCGTTCTGATTTTCTACGTGAAATTCGACATGCTTTTCCCCCGCCACAAGACACTCTCCGACACAGAATGGATTCGGATCTGGTAAATACAAAAAAATTGCCGTCCGATACTTGTCTGAAACTGTCCCCCCAAGGGTTGTCAATGAATGTCAGTTATGAAATCCTCGAAACACACTTTCGCAGTCTTTAATGAACGAAGTGTCACCACTTTATTGATCCACATATTTAACTACGTGTTTAGCTAATAAGATTTTCACGAAGGCCACCCATTACACCTCATTGCCCCAGCCAGGTGTCAAGGCGAAAGTGCGTGGTACGAAGCGTGGTTGTCCTTCCATTTAAGTAACGAAGGGTTGTCAATACAATTCCGATGCAGTATAATACACTTTTAAACACGAAAGCATCACGACACCTATTTCGATAAGTATGTTAAATAATCGTATCATGTACGTCAGAATGTGCAGGTTGTGAGAAAGAGCTCCTGGTCAAACCCGATCATAACTGATCCTGGCGACGATCTCCACCTCAAACCAACTTGAATCGCGTTACCAGTCAGCACAAGGCAACATGCTTCACTTTAGTAAACTACCATCTTCCCTATGTAAACTCGTAAATAAATCAATAAACGGTGGCATATATGTGTTGCATATCAAGCCATTAGGTGTTACTCGTTAGTGACGAAGAAGATGGAAACGACGAAAAGCAAGAAAGTGACAATTAAAGATGCCGGGGGAGTTGGCTGGCAGAAGTATGAAGCTACTACGAGCCTGTTGCATAAAGCCCAACTATGCCACGTCTCACGTGCACTCCGGTTGGAATGAAACGAGCACTGACCTCACCAAAACAGCAAAAGGCTAGTGGCCGTACATGCAGCAGCCGTTACGTTAACCGGACTGAGAGAAGCCCGTCTCTCAGGATCGCAGAGCACAGTTTTCGTAAAATAGGTGCAAAGGTACCCAACCTACCTACCAGCTCGACACGTATTCCATTGTCCTGCGTGCTGAAATCCACGCGGACCGTTTATGGTAGTTGATAAAGGAAGTGATCATTCTCTAATTAGAAGGTCGTTATGAAGCACTCATTGTGTGAATGGATTGCGATGCGCAATCTCATTGTGGACAAGGATTTGCGACCAGTAGGCTAAGGAGTAGAGGTTACGGTTAACATCTTTGTGGCCCCGTATTCAATGTCAGGTAGCTGCACCTGATGAGATCAAATAAGTTCGAAAGATATCGTGGAGTGCAGTGTTCGCAAGTGGGCAACACTCAATGTCTAGCCGTTTCAGATCCCAGTCTACTTCAGTTTACCGTAGCTTCGGCTACTAGGCGACTGAAACCCAGCTTATGGAAGCATAAAGAACTCGTGATGAACCTAACGTTACCCTGGTGAGGTCAGTGCTCCGATCAGAGTGCAGGTGAATCGAGTGACTTGTGACCGCCTTAACATTCGCATACGAATTGCACAATGATTTCAACGGTATAAAATTATGTCATGCTTGTTATGGTATCTGGTCATTCATATTATGGATTCAGTAGCCTCAGGTGAGCAAAGTACGGCCGAAAGAACACTTAGCTGCGTCTCTATAATTGAAAGTCGGTTTGGGTTGAGTATGCAGTGGATAGATAGCCGCCCAAAAGGCTACCGATATCCGTCCGATGACCGTCTGATAAGCTACCGATCTGACGCCGGACGGGACATGGTTTTGGGTTGGAAACTGTACGGTCAAACCAAAGCCTTTTCGGACAGAGAAATCGACGCTTAGTTGGAACGACCTATGCTCTCTTTCTGAATCCCGGTTATACTCCGTTATATCCTTTATAGACACCAGATGTTTCACTAAGGAATATCGAAGGTCACAAATAAGTGCTAGGTCTAGAATTCCGTTCGGGTAAATTTTAATAAGACCCAAAGATTTGCTAGAAAAAAAGTTAGCAAAGCAGTCATTTCTAGTAATGAATTTTGTCAGTAAAATTGGATAATTTGCCTTTTTGAAGACCGGCACTTTCCACGATTCACTTAAACCAGCTGTTTTATCATGGACCCCGCCAACCCTAATCGGATACATGATCGCTTTTACACCAGAAGTCGCGAATATAATTAAATAAACGAGATAAAATTTAGAAAGCACGATTACATCTAAAAGCTGCAGTATGCTGCATTATAGGTAGGGGTGTCTACGATTAGTTCCTGTTGCCTAAATGATTGCATTCATCGCGAGATTTTGACGGTAGGTAGTGCTGGCTACATGACAGCCTGTGTAGCGCTTGAGCAAAGTGGTACCGGAAACATTAATTAGTTGAGTTAACACATAATACCACCTGCAGTATTGCAGTGGTTTTGGTGGTGCGGAACGCTTTCTTTAACCATAGTGTACATCGCTGGAACCTTCAGGCGTCTGAATAATGCAGGGTTGGGACGACGCAAGTTAACTAACGTGAACCCCATAGTGTATGATTTGCATACGACGAGCCAAATAAGTGAATATCACTGGTGTCATACTATAACAGATATAAAGGTTTAATAACGATATATTGTTAACATATATTCCCTGAACCAAACCTGACCGTCGGATTTAAGTTCGATATTCGGACGGCTGAGTGTTCAATGGTACTGATGGGGAAAGGTAGCCGTTCTTCCGATTTCTTTGTTTCTATACTCTAACTAATCAAATCCCGTGGCAGAGTCGTGCCCTATCGAGGGCATCCCAAGATTTCGGACCGAATGCCACCCTTGTAGAAGTAACTGTAAATAAGTCTCGTTTGCTCTGCAGGCGAGATAATAAGCAGTCGCGGACAATCACCGAGGGCGTTTCAGTGGGTGGAAAGTACTGGACTGGTCACCTGGTTCTCCACTAAATATCACAAGAGCCCGTACGGCGTTGGTCAAAGCCAATGTGAGCGGCTATGTGGTCACTGACTACTCACTTCTATACCTGGAGGTAAGTGCATAACTGAGGCCGGATGAACAACCTGGATGGTCACCGGCTTCTGTTTGGACTGTTACCGAGCACTAAGTAGGCCTATGAGCTATCCGGCTGTCAACGATCCTGTACTCCGCTGTTGGTTAGACAAACCAGAAAAGTTTTCTAACCTGTGTGCCGCTAAACTTAGGCAGTTCGGGTGCCCTGAGTAGTCCGTTACTACTCGAAAGTCGTGTTGCCGGCTCTCGACTGTCCGCGACATGCGTTAATCGCTAAACTGTCTTGCGGCCCTGCTCTCTATGACGCAAGTCTCCGGGTGGGGCTCCTAAATCACACTGCTTCATCGGCCTGGGCAACCGGGAAGCGGTCTGCCCACACAACACATGAACCTGAACATGAATCTATGTAACTCCGCACTTTAGCTACACTCGCTGATTTCGTTTTCCTCGGCCAAAGTGCTGGGGGCCGGCTCCGTTATCCCGTGATTTGCCGCACCACTTACTTTTTTGTTCAACGATTTTTGAATTCACCCATTCTTGGTATTCCCCCCCCCCCCTGATACCGGGTCTCCGACAAAGTGCATTCTTGAGGAACAGTTCTAACCATGTCGAGCAGCAGTTCAAGACCGTCCGTGTGCCACGCAATCGCGAAGACAGGACCTTTCTAGCCCCCCTGTTCCCAATTCAAGCTGCCCGGTTTCACTGTTCGGACGCTCATGCAGATAGGATCGCAGGCAGCCCTTGCTCGCACTCTAGAAACCTTCTCCATCGGCATATGTTGCCTCGCTGAGGCCCGTTTACAGGACTTCAGCAGAACCCTCTGACTGAAACCATGTTCGACGTGATTCCAAGGTAGATTTACACTACGCTTATTTGGTTACGCAACTGCCGAAGCAGCGGTCTGCGCCGGTGTGGGAGTCATCTGAAGCGTGTGCGCGCGCAGGAGCAGCGCTGCTTAGTTGGATCTCAGCTAATAGCCGACACTGTTCATTTCGGCTAGAAAGCTCTGTACGATTGTCCAGCCGTCAGGCTGCCAAACGCTGTTTGTTCGTCGTAGCGGCGTATGATCCCATGGATTGCAGTTCAAACTCAGCTAAAGATGAGTTCTATCATCATCATCCTCACTATCATCACCAATACATGTAAGTTGAGCGTGAGAAACACAGCTCAGCTAACGTGCTGCAATACTAAAAGGGAAAGATATTAGACGTTACAGACAACAAAAACTAAAAAAGTAATTTAATGCAAATAGCACGTTAAGCAGTGGGTATGACATAGTTGTTGGAGGGGAAGCAAAAGGGGATGAATGAACAAAGAAGCTCATAACGCAAATGTTATTTAGGTCAGTTCTTTGCCATTTCAACAAATGTATCCCACCAGACGTGCTTACACTCCTCCTGTCCACACCTGTACAGGAGAGTTGAACGGACGGCTATGGGTATAAACTCTGCTCTTCAGGGCGATGGTGATGACGCGACGGCACCGAAAGTCGCGGAGATTGGCAAAACCGAATCGAGTATTTGCTATACGGTTTGTGATCTCATTTTCGAGCCCACAAGCTGCTGAGATATTTGAATTTCTGGACGACTTTTAGCTGATCACCAGCAAGAGTCAGTGAGGGAGTAGATATCTGCCAATCCAGGAGAAGGAATTCGTGTTTCGAGGGTGAAAAGTAAAGCCCGAAATGACTGACAGCTAGCGCTAATCTGTCCGGTGCTGCTGGGCACGTTAAGGAGCTGTCAGCGATTAGGGCAATATCGTCGGTATACTCCAAGTCAAGAAGTCACTCACCTCGGTGCAGATCTACACCTTCTAGATCCTGTCCAGTGAATGTCATTTCTATAACTTCGCAATGGCGAAATTAAAGAGAAAAGGTGACAGCGGGGAACCATGTCTTACACAGCTGGAGATATTGAGGGGCCACGAAAGTTGGCCGTGAACCCACCCTCTACCCGAACTACGTGCATACCAAGCTATTATGACATTTACATGTTTCTCGGGCACACCTTTCCTGAGTTGACAGTCACGAAGGCCACATCAATCCACCAAATCGAAGGTAGACTTGAAGTCGAGAAACACGACTACTGTGGGTCACCAATAGTTATGGTGGCGTTCTAACCATTGACGTAAAATGAAGATGTGGTCAGTGAAGCCTTGATT